CTGCGGGAGCGTGCGGGAACGGGATGAAAAATCAGTACCGCGCAGACCTCTATCATGCATCCCTTAATCCTTTGCAATTGAATCACCTTGGGTAACAATTTACACCCCTAATGAAATCCAATAAAAACAAGTCACAGGCGTATTTAGTGTTAGTTTTTCCAAATGGAATGGAAACATTTGCTCCTACTAAAAGCATGCTTAAAAATCAGTGTTGCCTGTATTATTTACTCAGAGATAGTGTATGGAATACTCACCACATTTTTCTGATTCAATTGGTAATTTTGTTGCAGCAGTTACCAGAGATGTTGGATTTTCTGTTCTTGTGTAAACTGTACTACTGGGCATTTCACTTGAGCTTATATTATTTTTCGGTGGACATTTACAAGTGTAGTCAACTAAATGACAAAAAGATAAATTTCAAAACAAGTAGGAGGTTCATTTTACTGTCTGTATTCCAATAACTGCTACAATGATTTTTAATATTAAGCAGAATATAGTGTAACATTAAAAGCATAATAATTCATTTATAACATAAAAATCATTTGTAATTGTCTGTACTTAGAATATTTTATACATTATATATTGTTTCATTCCATCTGCATTTAACTCATGTATCCCTTAATCCTTAGCACCTTATCTGTAAATACTGCTGAACAGTAAATAATTTTTATCTGGACATATTTCATGTTACCAAAAACTGGATATCATCCTATATGCTCCTACATGTAAATATTGCCTAAGCAACATTTCTTTGTACTTTGCACTATAATGATTTGTAAATGTGTGTCATGCAATGACAATAAAGCTGAACCTTAATCTCTTCATTTTTCCAAGTGCAGTATTATCCAAATGCGATTGAATAAGATTGACTGTTCACCATGAGAAGACACTTGCTCTTTGTTCTTCTGTGTTATGTGGTTCCTCCATTATACCTCCTGCGCATTCAGTCTGCATAATACTTGTCATACAGTGAAACAACACTTACGGTTCAAAATTGTGGAAAAGTTCGAAATGAAGTCCTTCACTTTCCGAAGTACTGTTGAGCTGTAATTGCACTGTGGACAGTCGGCTTTCTAAGTAAATAAAGGATAGATGGATTTTAAGAAGTAAAAGGGCTGGAGTGTTTAATTCTCTACCCTCCAGCTGTGTGTGAAGGCTTCCTCCATGTATTTTTGTTTCCGCCCTCAAAACAAAAACATGAAATTAATCTTGCCCACAATGTGCGTGAGTGTGTATGCCCTGTGATAGGCTGGTATTCTGTTCAAGGTAGACCTGCCATGTATGGCATCCATTTTTATTGTCAAACTTGTAGGTAACCTGGAAATAAGTGTTTGTGAGTAATATTAAAGAAAGCAAAACTATGCTATGAACTATGCCATGTTTGTATCCAGCAACCTTGCAAGGGATTGGGATCCCATGGAGGTGTACCCTGTGGCATTGGATAAGTGGTGCAAAAAGGGGTGGTGCCATTTTCAGCTGAAGCTAGGTTTTCATCACAGTTTTCAACAAAACCCAAAACTGTCAGGGTAAAATTTACAGTAATGACCAAAATATACCCACCCCGTTTCTGTCAATCATGGCGATAATCTTCTGAGAGGTATTAAACAATTTTTCACATTTGCTTCCTTTTGTATTCTGAGAGAAAATACGCAATGTTTCTCGAAATTCACAGCAATTCTGTAAAAACAAGTCAAGCAAGCAAAAACATGTCAATCGAATAAGAACTACAGTCAAGATCAGTTGAAGAGCTCTTTTCCAAAACACGATAAACGCCAAATAAAAAAAAAAAAAAGAGCTTGCCATGCCATTCTGCTGTGTATTAAGCTTATTCACTGCTCCATCAACGTTTCATGCCAAATCGCTATATTTTCTTGTTTAAAATGTAACGCAATTGACACCATCTTCTCAAAGAGAAGCACAGGTTTGGGGGAACCTGACTGTCCTGCAGGAACGTAAGCAGCTGGCTACACGATGGACGGATGGGAGAAGTGGAGGGTCGTGTGTCTGGCGGCTCTGTCCGTGGAGGACATCGAAGATATCTACCAATTCGGAACCATGATTACAGGTCAAATAAAGGGTCATTCCATTCCATTTCATTATTGCAAATTGCAATAAGCACGATATCTATTTTTTGGCTAAATGCAACATCTCCTCTCAACGAATCAGTGTTCAGTCAGTGCTCTAAACTATCTAATATGGCGGCACCGTAGAGAGAGGAGTTTTCTTGCTTGTGCTGGTTGTTTAAAGACAGATACTGTTTGAAAATGGATGTTTTAAATACTTTTGATGGTTCTGAAGAACAGGAGAGAGCTACACCAGGTGGTAGACGACGTCGTTTAAACAATGAGAAAAATCACTATTGTGGAGGTGGATTGATCCCAGCAGTTGGATGTCAACACATTACTGCCACGAAGTTTTGCCATGCAGATAAATTTACACCTGATGACCTGGTCATGAATTTTTGAAAGTTTTATGACAAACCTGACAAGGTTGAACAGGACAGGGCTCTAATTCATCTGATGATGATATTTAGCTGTTTATTTATTTTATTTATTTGATTCTATCATAGATTGTATGATGAGAGTTTCTGATATTAAATATAGACTAGATGTTCTCTTGTTTCAATAAGAAAGACAAAAAAATTATGGATTTATAGCATTTTGAAAAAAGAATGGATGGATTTATTGCGTTTTGGAAAAAAATATAATAAACTTTGGATTTATAATCAACAACATTGTTGTTAGATTTGACAATTACTGTTGAACATGTTCGAACTGAGTCAACAAACTATTTTAATAGGATAAATTAAAAAATTTGCAAATGTCTGGGTTTGGGTAAATGTCATTTTTTTTTTTTAAATATATAGCATTTTGGCAATAATTGAAGAGCTCTTCAATTATTGCTCGGACAATGTTAAATTTTGTAATATTCTATCAAGGTTGAATTGTGAAATAATGTGTAACATATGAAAGTTCAGTCATTTGATGTTATTTCACTGCAGCCTTATACAGTAGCTCCACATGGTTGGGTTTGCTTACCTCACAACAGCCACTGATGTCTGGTATACTGAAGAGGTAATCCTGTGGCAGACGGTCTTCCTGAAGCAAAACAAATAAAGTCAATTTTTAACAGACTGCTTTGCAACATATTACAAAGTTTGAAAAATAAATTCTCGGAATGATTAAGGTAACTGACAAAATCCTGAATTGTGACAATAAATGTCTACACGGCTGTCAAAATGGAAACAAAGAAAAGGAAGCAGGAAAGTAGTTCTCAGGATGAGGATGTTGGTGAGAACAATGACAAGTCAATCAGCTCTTAGTGTCATGGGACAAGGGTGCCTAAGACTACTTACAGGGTGCCTAAGACTAAAGACTAAAATGGTTTAATGCCATGAACTGAAGCTGGTACAGTGAACGGCAAAAACAGGAATGTGGCCAGAAGACAGGCGTGTGCATTGTCCTCCAGAGTCCACTGATCAAGGCACACTTCGAGTTCATAGGACATGGCTGTCCCATTATGTTTCAGAGCTGTTAACCCCTTAGTGTGTTGCCCCATTGCACTTCAAATGGATGCAATGTAATAATTAATAACTATTACAGACAAAAATCATCGGAAAACCCAAGGGGTGTGCAAAATTGTTCCCTGTAGTCCACTGATCAAAGCACACTTCACTAGATGTGTGCCTGTCTTGTATAGTTTTAAAGTTATTAACCCATTCATGTATTGTCCCATTGCACGTTATACGGATACCTTCGAACATTCAAAAATTAATTAAAAATCGTACGTAAAGCAATCTGGGAAAGAAAGGGGTGTGCAACAGTCGCCATGAGCCCAAAATGCTAAACCACCATGTCATTATAGCTGACAGGTATTAGCTATTAACACGATTTTGCACAAATCACGAAATGGTTTGAAGCGCAAACATAATTGGTGTGCATCGTTGTCTGTGTACTGGACATCACGATTCCGTCATTAAAAACGCCCCACCTTCCGTTAAATGTTATTAAAACCAGAAAACTGAATATCGAATATGAAGCTAACTTAACCGCTGTGCCCCACGTAAACTTGACTTAACCCCTCATCTTTTCAATAGCTAGAAACTTCCCTGGTCAGCGCGCTGTTGGAATAGCGAAAGTTACTGAACTGGATGGGTTGGTAACACTTTATGAACGCGAAATATGTGTTGCATACACCGAATCCTAATAAAAGTACACTATTATAGATCTACAAAGATGCAATTCAATGCTGTAAACTGGCTCCAGAGCTTCCCACCATGTTGCAACGTTCTGATGCGTCATGGAGTGGGCGTGCTCAGGCGTGTTCACTCTAAATTCCAGCTGACCAATAGACGTGTAAGCTGCTAAGACCCGCCCACCCGTTAAAACAGTGCCAAAAGTCAGACAAAAAAAAGCAAAAAAAATTTCCAGAAGCAAAAAAAAAAAATAATGCAAAAGCAAAGAAAAACATTCCAGAAGCAAAACAAATTAGAGAAGAAGAAGAAGGGGGAAATTATTTTATTCGACTTTTTTGATATTTGGAAAACAATATTTTCATTCTGATACTTAATGATTTGCTTGCGGTTTTCAAAATTTTGATTAATACTTTTGGCACAAAATTAACTCCATAAATCTACCCTTATATAAAAGACATCTTTAATTTGCAGCCGGAGTTGTGCCCACATAATACAGTGGTACCTAGGTTCTCAAACTCACTATAACTCAAATTTCTTGAAAGTCGAACAAACCAGTTTGACCTAGAACTCGATCTGAATATCAGAAGCCTTCATCAAAAAATAATTATCTTTAACAAAACCACATGTGCCACGATTATTGGCATCCCTGGAAATTATAGTGAACACAATGTAACTGAAGCATCTTTCCCCTGTAAATTGTGCATCTTTGAGTTGAGTGGAGTGAATAGGAACCTTCAAGCTGTAATCCATGACTTTCTGGTTAACAGGAATGCAAACATGAGGAGACACAGAGCCCAAATTCTCTTAGTTATCCATCAACATGGGAAAGATAAGAGAACATACAAACCAAATGAGGGAGAAGTGTGCTGACCTTCATAAGTAAGGGAATGGGTATTTAAAAATAGCTACTCGCCTTGAAATGCCCAACGGGATCTCGATTTAATTAGCAAATGGGCTGATACTTGGCATATGAAATTTAACACAGATAAATGTAAGGTAAT